AAGATTAACAGTATCATATGGTAATCATAAAAGCATGGAACTTGAAGTGAATTGACTCTATTCATTCTTGTTACAATTAATGCTGAAAATGGTAGTCTCTTGGAAAATAAAGCCTGGAGCCATATTGGGCTTTGATGATGATAACTTTTGCTAGGACAAGCTGATATGAAATTAGGAAATTAGGAAGAAAACTCAAGGCTCACAATGACTGATGTAGCATCTCAAACTATTAAATTACCCTGGTATGATTTGCTGTGTTAATTTTATTCCCGCAAAATAAATAGACATGTGAAGTTTTTCCCACCAAAAAATGAGCCAGCTTATTTAAAATTGAGTCAAATAGTATATGCTGATCGCTATTGTTACCATAAATTATTTTGAAAAGTTCTCAAAAGTCTAGTGAGTTACTTTTGTGTGGGGGTTGGAGTGAGGATTGCATTTCATTTCAATAGATTGTGGTAATTTAGAATGTAGTATGATGTTTTGGTTAGAAAAATTAGCTATTATTTTTGTAAATATTAATTCTTGTGCCCTTTATATTGCTACAGATTTTCTTTTCATTCATGCCTTTTTTAAATATTCTACAATGCCATTGTATTTCATTAATGGTTGCAATGAAAATTTCCTACACACAATGAACAGAATACATTGTAATATAGAGCACAGTAACAATATTTGCAACATATTTCATAAAGAAAATGAATAATTTTCTTTCGTAATAGTTTTCATGTGGCTCTCCTCAAAATATAATATTTTCATTAAGACAAGGCTCAGTGATTTTTATTTGTTTTATTTATTGACTTAACTGCCTTACAAGAAATACTGTCTACAATAATATGGCATATACAGGGGACTGAATGTAAAATTGTATTTAAATAAATTCTCAGTAGTTTTTTATTTTAATTTTAAAATATCTATAAAGACAATTCAAATAACATCCAGAGAAGCTTCTGGAAAATGTAATTGATTAAGCTGATTGTTGAATATCTGACTCATCAAGTCTGAATTGTAAAAACTCAGCTTTGAATATCTGTAAAATGCTGTAGATTTTTAAAAACAAAACTTATCTGCTCATTGATGCATTTCTCTGCACTATATGTTCTTTTGGTACACAATTAAACATGGTACTTGGTTCTCCTCCTCCCTCTTCACCATGAAAATCTTCAGTCTTTTCATCAAGACTGCTTTTGGGAACAGATTGTCATGCGGAAAATCTATATATTTTCTAAGAATTGACCATGATGGCACATAATCAGTCAGTCAGTCAGTCAGTCAGTCAGTCAGTCAGTCAGTCAGTCAGGTTGTATGAAAACATGCAACTGAAGCTAAGACTTAGGAAATCTTGACAAAGCAAATCATAATATCAGATCTTGCAAAGTAGATATAATGCAACTACTAACGGTTAGGGACTTTAATTTTTTTTTGGGGGGGGGGTCCTACGAGATGTATCTTTCCTGCCACGGGGCTTGCCTTATAGAATATTCTTCCTCCAAAATTTAGATTGGCCCCATCCTTTTTGCTAAACCTGCCTATGTTCTCAGGCTCCTTGGGCCTCTCAGGCAAATGAAGACTTGTACAGATGGCTCCACTGATGAGATGGCCATTTTTATCCTCTCTTGCCTAGAGTTTGCATTTCTAGCTTTTATGAGGTTTCTTAATATGGATTATACATTTTATATTTTTGTTTTATTTGTTGTCTTATCTGATTGTTGTTCACCTTCCAGAAATAGGTAGCCATATATTTTGGTTAGTAAATAAACAAACAAATGACTTTTGAGCCTAGTCCCCACCTGATAATCTTCTACATTATCAGAATTCGTATTATACAAATACTCCTGAGCTACATTAATAACCTGATAATCACAAAGGAACCTTTGTATTATATCTGAATGGTCTCCTGTGAGCTTACTGAAGGCCAATAGCCAAAGTCAGTTTTGATCATGCTGCCTCCTAGTTACCACCAAAAACCTTAGGTCTTCTAGAGCTTCTTGCATTCAAAGAAATCGACAGAGATCATCACCACCACCACTACCATCACTACCATCATCATCATCATAAATCATCATCATCATGTATGACTCCAGCACACCTTGACACTGAGAGAAGGCAATAGTAGGAACACTCCCTTGGTTCTTAGCCTTAACTATATTACAGTACTGCTCAGTACTGTAATATAGTGGATATTTTCCACAGATAGTGGATATTTTTCTGTTTGTGCAGAATGCTGTTTTGATGTTGTGTTCAAAACAGCATTCTGCACAAACAGAAAAATATCCACTATCCTTAGAAACGCCAAAGATAAAATTGAATTAGAAAATCAAGGAGTATACGAAATCCCATGCACCACTTGTCCCACCGCATACATCGGACAAACCAACAGAAGAATAAGTGCACGCATTGAAGAACATAAGAACTCAGTCAAAAAAGAGGAACCAACATCTTCCCTGGTCCAACACCTAAAGCCACAGGACATGAAATACCGGAACCATTGCCAAAAGTGAACATTTTAATAACAGAATAATCAGAGAAGCCATCGAGATAGAAAAACGCCCACACAGCATGAACAAGCGAGATGATACCTCCCGCCTACCATCCATTTGGAAACCCGCCCTTATTGACAAACGACTCCCTAACACAAAAAATGATACCAGACCCACACTCACAAAAACCACACAGGATGTCACCACCACACAGCCATGCAAAAAACAAACCCAAAGCCACACCGATGATGAGGCACGACCACAAACCAGAAGCCAGACCACAGCTGCATCATTAGCCACTTTAAACCCCTCCAATCCATACATGGAGCAAACTGACACCCTCCATGAAGAGAAAGCACGACCACGAACGCGAAGCCAAAAAATAGCAAGGCAGCCCAAAATCTCAAACCCCTCTGCAACTCAGACTAACCTGAGCACAACCAAACAGAACACTCCCCCAGCCAATCAGAGCACAGCCAAGCCCCTAACCATTCAGAACACACCTCCACCCAATCAGAACATAGCCAAGCTCCCACCCAATCAGTTCATACCCCCACTGGCAGTTAAAAGGAAGAAACAGCTAAGACCACACATTGCTGCTCACAGCACGAAGCTGAAAACACCAGCCTGAAGATGACGAATGGGACTTCGTCGAAACGTCGCCAAGACACTTCCAATTTTACGCGGGAGAAAACCTGAACAACCAAAGACCTACATACAAACACCCGCGAAAACCTCAGAAAACATATATATACACACACACACACACACACACACACAGTATACTGGAACTAGTGACAGATAATTCTTTTGTTGTCAAATGAAAGATAGATCTTTCCCAGTCCCCATTCCCCTTTCCAATTCTGCTTCAATGTAAAAGAGAATAAATAATAGCTGAAAAATATGATTTTGGTTAAACTCAATAACACACAGCAAACACACTGTTCTTTGTATAATTATCAGATGGGAAGAATGTGTTCCTCAAAATGTTTATTACTAAAGAGTAACATCAACATTTGAATGCATTATACTATTATATGAAAGTCATGGTGTTATTTCAATATAGAATCCCTGCATGAAGTTATTTCTTACAAAAAGAAATCTATTAGAGCCTCAATGTCACCTTAGCATTTACAGTATTGTCAGTGTTTTATTGTCAGTTGCTAAAAAATACGTGTTAAATAATGAGTGGTTTTTAGTTCCTAGCCATTTTGCATCAATGAAAAGTCACAAAGGAGCATATAACAGCAACAGTACATTTGGAAAGCATCTGCATTTATTATTGCTATTTTTTTCCAGCCATGGAAAAACGTTAGGTGCCAACTCAAGCTGAGCAATCCAGCTGGTATAGAAAAATCAGATTCATGGCTTCTCTGACTTCAATAGAGCTTTGCTCTTATATGTGTACATCAAATAAAAGTCTACAATGACTTTACACTACTCCTGTTCCATGGAGCCCGTGTTCCTCACAGCTGTTCAGTCTGTCTAATGTTCTATGGCTTCTTCCCCTTAGTTTCCATGTAGACCTCTGTAATGAACAGTATAGTGCTTGTCTCCCTGTTTTCATTATAGGAAATGTATGATTTATTTCACACAATAATTTCATTAAATCATTTTTGTGTCAAAAAGCAATCCTTTCCTCCTACTTGATTTAGCCACGGTTATACAAAGAGCAAAGGACAAAGTGGAGTGTTTTGATTTTGGCCTGGCCCTGAAACCAGAAACCACTTTTCCTTCCAGAAGATTTATTCTGGAGAATTTTAAGGCCTACTCTTGGTACTACCAAATCAGCTTGGTTCAGAGGAGATAATAATATTTCAGTCTTTCTCAAATGTTCTGCCCCTGGAATGAAACATTAGTTGTTATTAAATATAATCAAACAATAAGAAACACATTTAACTGGCAAAACAGAATAAAAGGCAATAGCAGGGAGAGAGATACATGAGCAACAGGCAAGAATTTACATTACCTATATTACATTAATTATATACAGTGACTATATTTATCTGTATGAAAAGGCACAGAACTTTCTAGAACCACTGGTAATAAAAATCTGGCTATTTTGCATGGGCAGCCCTGAGTGATTCTCTCCTCTGTGCTGTACCACTAAAGCAACAATTTCATAAATGGGAAAGATATATCCAACACTAAATACCAAACGTGTATGCTAAGTAACTGTATATAGAATGCATTCCAGACATACTGAAGAATTTGCAGTATGTTCCTATCAATAGTATAGAAATGGAGGAAATAACAGTAGTCTAGGACTAGGGGCAATTTTATACACTTCACCCTTATTTCACTTTGGAAGTATTCACATCATTCCATATGCACATGTTATCATGAGCTTGGAAACATAATACATTCTGTCTGTTCCATTCACTTGTTTCAAATTATGGAGTGGCAAACCTCACCACACACACAGGAGAGAGAGAGAGAGAGAGAGAGAGAGAGAGAGAGAGAGAGAGAGAGAGAGAGAGATGCATACAGAGAAGTTATTTATTGTTATTATTGTTGCAGTGTTTATGAAAGAAGGTGAAATAAGCAAATATGTAGGATTCATTAAGACTGGACACTGCAATGCTTACCGAATAATTCCAGCTCTTGTAAAGCGATCTTTGGGAAAAATGGTAAGAGCAAATATTTTCTTCTAGGAAATTTTTCTTTTGACCAGATTGGATTAAGGAAATTATGAATAAGCTTTTCAGTAGGGAGCTTTTTATGAATAAGAAAATGTGAGGGTATTGTGAAATTATGAATTGAACAGTATAGGTGTTACATATTTAAAAATGAAAATCTTAAAGAAGAAACAACTAACACCTTGCTGAAATAGTAATTTGTATAAACCAAGTTCAATATAGCTCTGAGTGATACAGATCTCTCACACATGGACATTTAGCATTATGAAAAAACATTTTTAGAATACTGCTTAAAAGCATGAAACTACATTTCACTGCCTCTGATGAAAAATATTCAGAAACAAGGTGCTAATGTAGTCGTGATGTTACTTCTCACAGAATAAAGCCCAGATATATAATATTATTATTTTGCTGAGAGAATAAAAATTGTACTACCAGTTGTGCCTGGTGATCTATCTAAATCCATTAGATAGATATTTTAATATGTTCTTTGACTTTATCTATCTAATGGATTTTTGGATCACTGTCTGGTGATTATGTGAACATTAGACTGTGCTAAACATATGGAGCTCAAGCTTTACCTTACTAAGCACAATACAATCAGCTTGGTTTATCATTATCTGTAAAATAAATTGTGCATCTCTCAAAAATCTATTCAATCCAGACCTTGCCTTCCAGTATTTCAGAATTAAGGTGCTTAATCAAGGACAGAGAGAAGGGAGGTGCATACAGTTTCCCAATTCTCAGCAATAGTTTAGTTCAAGCTCTGATATATTTATATGTGCCAAGGAAAAAAGCTTGAATTCTTCAATATGAAGAGAATACTGCATGGACTGTAACTGTATGGATAAAAATGAACAAGATAGAAGTCTTTAATTCTCCTTGCTCATTTTTCCATTCTGATATCATTTCAAATTTTGGCAGCTGCCAAAAAAGCCAATGCAGTCCTAGGCTGCATTAATACAGGGATAGAATCAAGATCACATCAAGTGTTAGTACCACTTTATAATGCCTTGGTAAAACAACACTTGGAATATTGCATCCAGTTTGGTCACCACAACCAAAAATGATGTCAAGACTCTAGAAAAGAGTGCAGAGAAGAGCACAAAGAGAGAGGATGAGGAAACTGGAGACTAAAACATATGAAGAATGTTTGCAAGAATTGGGTATGTCTAATGAAAAGAAGGACTGGGGATGACATGATAGCAGTGTTCCAAGATCTAAAGAGCTACCAGAAAGAAGAGGGGGGTCAACCTATTCTCTAAAATACCTGAAGGAAGGACAGAAGCAATAGATGGAAACTAATCAAGGAGAGAACCTGAGGAGAAATTTTCTGACAGTGAGCACAATTAATCAATGGAACAACTGCCTTGAGAAGTTGTAAGGGTTCTAACACTGGTAGTTTTAAAGAAAATATTGGACAACCATCTGTCTAAAATTTTATAGGATTTCTTGATTGAGCAGGAAGTTTGACCAGAAGACCTCTAAGGTCCGTTCCAACTCTATTATTCTGTTGATTTTTAGGCTTGCACATAAATCAAAATTGGATGTCTACACATACAAGTAGGCATATATCTGTGTATGATTTTAGAGAAGGCAATAAACTCATGCTCCTAATCACAACCTTTCATGTTCTGAATGTAACTTGGATTTTATTGAGGTACATATGAAATACCATTAATCTGAACATTGTAATGGTAGATTGTGTCTGCAGTTTACATGCATATTTTGTAAATGATCCCTAACCATCTTCCAAATCCTTTCCATTCTTAGACATGAGCCAACAAAAAAATTACTTGGGTTTATATTTTTAAACAGGTTAAGCAAATGAGACCAGTTTTCATTGGCCAGTTATATCAAAACCAATCCTTTGGAGAAACAAGTGTTCTTCTTCAGACACCATCTACGTGTACACTGAAAGCAGCAACTCCTGTTGAACTGGGAGTTATTAATGCTACAGATGTGCTTGGTAAATATCATCCTTTTCCTTTCCCTTTCCATACCTCTTCCCACCCGCCCACCCCTCCCCTCTGCACCCCTTCCCTTCCTTTCCCTTCCCTTCTCTTCCCCATAGAAGTTTGGTTGACCTAAAAAAACTACAATGCATCCCTAATTTTGCCATATTTTACCAAGTCCTATCAAATGGTTTCCTAGAATTGAAATATGATATAATAATAATAATAATAATAATAATAATAATAATAATAATAATAATAATAAAGTTGGAAGGGACCTTGGAAGTCATTGAGTCCAATCTCCTGCTCAGGCAGGAAACCCTACACCATTTCAGACAAATACGCCACTATCAAACTATGAAGCAGGTAAAGAGAAATTAGATATGATGGAAACTGGCCTGACATAATGTTCTCCTGACAAACACAACTTGTTTCCTAGATGCATTTCCTATTCTTGTGCAATATTTTTTAGATGCTTACAGTCTGTTTGAAATGTATGTTAATATTTGCATGGAGTGGCATCCTGAAATGGGACTGTTCTACAGGAATACAAATTTGACAGTGCGCTAATATCTAGGCATGATAAAAAAAAGCATACTCTGTGCGTGTAGTTATAGGAGGGCTCATCTCCTTGCTTTACTACAATTAAAAAACCACCTTTGGTGAATTGTTCTGTTGAGATAGCTGCATGTTGATAGAAATTCTAAGGCTCAGATGTTTTTTAACATTAAATAAACATTTAGGTGAAGATTTCATGTGTAAAACTGTTCTAATTGAAAGTCGGAGAAAACCATATTACAACATAAAGGAGACAAGTACTCTTCAGTGTATTTAAATATTACTTCAAAATGGTCCCATGGTCTGGTGCTGAAATACTTGTTAAGATTAATTGTAAGTCATATAAAACACAATATGAGAGGCACCTATCACTCCGTTCCCACCACCTACTATGCTGGAAAATTTTCCAGTGAAAGAGAATCATAACATGGGTTTTGCAAGAACTTCAGAAATTGTTTTTGCAACATGTGGGCATGGATACGAAACACTTCTTTTTGGAGCCATCAGTATCTTTTTTCAGCTTTGCATAGCTGTTTTGGAAACTTATCATGATTATCTTTCCGTTGCTGTGTAAGCACAGGTATTTTAATGAAGTGGATATGTTTGCTCACACATGAGAAGCATTTGGGAGAAGCTTTCAAAGCAGCTCCATATATCTGGAAAAAAGATGATTTGAAACGAAGCATTTTGTGTGTGATTCTCTCTGTGTTAGGCATCTCGTCTGAATCATTTACTAGGCCCGAATAATGTCTTATTCCCAACAGATATATTTTTTGTTTGCATGAACCACTATGTTTGTAGAGAACATTTCTTTTTCTCTTGAACTCATTTAATCTTGTTACATTATAATAATATATATTATTGTACATTTCATTTTATACCTGAACCTGATTTTCTCTGATATAGTCTCAATAGTGAAGACAGAAATAGAGTTATTGGTAGAGTACATATTGTTCATGTGGGAGATCCAAGATTGAATTAGGATTATTTAACCCTTGAGGTCATCCCTAGAGTTACATCAAAGTAAAGTAATATTCCATCCAACATGCTGCCAATAGTAGCACTGTTTATCACAAATGATGATGCCATTGCAGATGTACAATTTTACATCCTTTTCCACATTGCAGCAATTATTCTTCTACCATCTTTTACTCATCTGAGCTCAATATTATTTGACCTTTCACAATTATAATGGGCTAGGTGCAGCATTATTAAATGTCTGGTATCAATGCTTATAGTAAGTAGAGAGCTGTTAACAGCATTCAGTTAGATCAAATAACATTTGGTAGATAATTTTCTGATACTTGATCTGACAGTCATTCTCCAAACAAGCACCAATGTATGAGGTGACTTTTTGAGACCCTAAGAAGTTTGGGACAGAATAAACAATTATCTTCTCATTGTATGTTAATATAATTTTTCTCAAATGTTTTTGTCCATTGAAGTTAGGGATCATAAACAATAATGAGATTATTGAAATAACTCTTGGGGTTGTGTTTTAACATATGAATGTAAATGCCTTCAAAGAAAAGGATAAGATTTTATCTTATTATTTGAATGCACCCATTTCTTGAAGAAGGAACAGGAGAAGTTTTGACCATTAATTTAAACAAATGTTTCTCAAATTTGGCAATTTTAAGATTTATGGACTTCAACTCCCAGAATTTCCATAGCTGTAATACTGATTGGAGCCTTCTTATTGGAAATATTGAAAAATTAAACCACAATTAACTGTATACAAAATACATACTCTACTACTAAGCAATGGTAGTAGTAGAGCAATGGTGGAATATGTCTCCTCTATTGTGAACAGTGATTTTTGAACTGCCACTTATATCAGTTCTCTAGGGCATAATCAAAAGATTAGAAAATCTGCCTTTGCCATGCATTCTAAATCCATGCATCTTCTGCATTCAAAAATGCAACTCATAAGGCTATTAAAGTAATGTCAGTTGGTTTTAAGTAGTTGTTTTATAATCCTTGTAATCAGAGGTGCTTTGAGCCTTGCAATAATAACATTTTATATCATTTGAGTTGCTTGTTAATCTTGGGGGTCTTGGATAAAATTGAGTGCAGATGATTACGTTCTCCTCTTAATTTCATTTACTGATTGAACTGGAAGCAGTTTTCTTCAGCTATTTTCTTAAACTATTCTTGTAAGCAGATTTAGTTCCAAGGTTGCTCTTTAGGTATAGCTGTTTTGATAAATCTCTGAACTCTCCCATGAGGGCAGCTAACATGAGTTTCTCAACCATGGAGGAATATATGAAAGCCCATGTTCAAAGCAATGCAAAACCAAGCCAAGCCAACTCTTCTTTGAACATAAATAGCAACTGTTAACTTTATGTCCCTTTCTTGTTTCAAGAATACTGAAACTTTCACTTCAAAATCCTTCAAATTTCCAGAAAAATTCTGGAAAGACTTGTGCAGAAACCCTAACACTTTAAAACTATTTCATTATTATTAAGGATAGATCTGTATCTATCATTCTTCTAAGTCTAATGTCGTTGCCTTAGTTATAAATCTATGAGATAATTCACAAAGAAGAAATTAATAAAATTAGTCTAACATTTATTACATTTCTTAAAATATGTAAAATTCAAAGTAAATATTGTCAATTATTCCTGGAAAGGAAGAAAGAAGCATACTCTTCTGAAATTGGAATTTTCTCTGCATCATTTCATTTAGATGGTGCAATCCTTCTTTTTCCTGCATGGAAATTCCATTTCAATTTCTTTTCCAACAAATGGTGGAAAAATAATAACGTAAAAGACTTTTATGGAAACATCAAAACTCCACAGGACTCAGATGGAGGATGACTTGAGAAACACATGTATGATTAGATGATGCCAAGAAATAGCTTTAGGGTTCCTCAGTAATGTTTTTCTCAGTGCAATTTATCCTGGAAATGGTCTATTTCCCCATTTCTGCTGTATCAATGTACACTATTCAGGAATGTCCATTTGAAAATGTCATGCATTTCTGCCTAGGTATGTTTAGCAGGAAAGAAAGTCCACAATGGAGAAGAAATTTTCTTTGATGTTGGAAGAACACTTTGCTTGGGAGCTTACATTGGCAGAGATCTTCTCAGTGTAGTTTTGTTTTCTTACCCATCTGTAAAAAAAGGAGTAAATTGGCCCACCAGCATTTCAAAGACTGTCTTTCCAAGAAGTGTTCCTCTTATTCTACTTTTCTTTATCCCTGATGTCACACAGATGTATTTTTAAAACATGAAAAAAGGGTGGCTAGGATGCAGATGGTAAGGTTCAAATCAATTAAAGCTCAACAAGGGTTTCCATGGAATTTTCTTCTGTAAATCACCATACATAAGAATTTGACTAGTGACTGAGTGACAGTGATTAATCCAAGCCTCACTGAAGGAACATCTTTGAGTAGAAATGTTACAGTGATGTTATTTTTCTTAGTTATCAAGTACATATTTTGCTGCTGACCTGCACATTGACTCCTAACAAAATGAAACCTTCAAAACTGTTTTTGCAACTGAGAAGTTGAGTAACTGCTGTTGTTACAGGAAATAAATTTAAATGAAGAGGGAAAATCAGGAAATCTTATTTTAAAAGTTGACTATATAAATGGGAAATGACATAACTATGGATCCATATGATGGATGAAGCTGGCAAATAGATTTATTTTAAAGAACAACTGTGAAATAATATATGTACTCAGATGGCTTTTTCACAATAAGGCTCCTGTTTTTTTTTAGATAGTAGAAATGATTCTAGAAAAAGACAAAACTCCTAAATAGCTGTTCCCTATGAAATAAGATGTTCTTTCTGTAAAAAAAATTACCAAGCTATCTAACATAAAACTGTGTCTGACAATTTCTAGAATATATACTATATATATTTTCCATTTAACTGTACATATTACAGTTAGCAGAAAAAATATCTGGAAAACTTCCATTATACGAAGGATTGCACCTTCAGTATGTTTTATTATAGGCTGCTTTCAGTTTCCATTAAATTCAAAAGTGTTTATAGAAACACTGTTCATTAGACCTAACCTAACCTAACCCTAACCCTAACCCTAACCCTAACCCAAACCAAACCAAACCAAACCAAACCAAACCAAACTAATGTAACCACAAACAGCTGTTTTTATAAGCAGTTAACAAAAATATATCAAAAAACTCAGCACATTTATAGGAGATGAATATGGAGAAAGCAAGGTTTTAAGTAATTGCTCATTTAAGAAGAAATTTTGCTTTCAATGCTGTTGCCATAGCATCAATACATTGATTTGTAGTTGCTAATGCAGCAAACTGAGGTTGATGAAGGAAGCCAAATTGGGAGGAAAGGGTGAACAATGAGATATCAAAGATTTTATGCAGGCATAACAGTTTATTTAGATGTTCTGTTTCCATATTGCATAGATACTTAATAAGATGAAAATAATAAATGGCTAAGGCAAATTATCAAAACTCTTAGCTCTTTTCCTTTTTTATTTTCCAGCTTGTAGGCACTGATTTTTAGGGCCAAATTCTAACAAAGGTTTTGCCATATAGCACAGTTGTCAATGGTCAGTAAAGACTTATTTAGTTTATTAAATACCTCCTGAAAACAGGACTTTGAGAGAAGGAGTTTTGTCTGGAATTGAGAAAAAAAAATATGGCAGAATCTTGATCTGCGGGCCCTATGCTGCAAACAAACATATTGTATTCTTTCCTTCTCTTTTTCCTTCTCTTTTGAATTCTGTTCTTCAAAGCTGGTGACTTTTCTAAGAGCAGGGTGGATTTGCTACCAATTTACCATTTAACAAATGCAAGAGATACAACATAATGACAGCAGTCTGTATAGTTAGAGTCTGGCAGTGCTATTTATATGCAAGGAAAAATACACAGTGGTTGGATTCAGCCAGTTCACACCAGTTCGGCAGAACCAGCAGCTAATTTTTTTCCTCCAGGCCCAGAATGGACCTCTGGAAGCGGCATCCACACAGAGAACCGGTTGTTCACATTTTTGAATCCCACCACTGATTAAACATACCAGAAAAAAGAACAGGATTCAGTCATCTAGTTGAGCAAGTTAACCATAGTAATGATTAGAATAATTGTACAGCAACTACAAGGAAGAGAAGCAGCCCAAAATTCGAGCATTTGGTTGCTTTTTGCCCAAGAGTTCTATGTGAGACAGCAGAGAATTCCAAGCCTATTAGATTTTACTCACACTTTATGGGAAAAACCTCTCTGGTAGAACCCACTCCTGAAGCATTACATTTTTGCATCACTCCATTTGCTGCTAATTCTAGGAATTAGATGGTAGGTTATAAACTATAGCATTATGCTGAATAATAAAACTATGTACCATTTAGTCATCACTATCCTGTAACCCATGATGGTTCTAAATGAAATATAAGATTTTTCTTGGTCAGTGTTGAAGAAATATCTAACTATAGCTGTTTGTATGTGGAATGGAAAGGGGATTCATTTCAGACAGTATAATGTCTTGGGCCAATAATGCTGTACATATACGCAACATGGCAACATAGTTATTGTCCAGTCTCTTCTTAAAGACCTCCAGTGATGAAGCATCCACAACATCCGATGGCAAGCTGTTCCACTGCTTAATTGTCCTCACTGTTAGGAAGTTTCTCCTTAATTCCAGGTTGCTTCTTTCCTTGATCACTTTCCATCCATTGTTTCTTGTCCTGCCTTGTGAAATTGCAATGCATATTTTATCATTTACTTTATATTTTGATTGCATTATTTCTGTGATGAAATCAGGAAAAAAGAACACATGATACAAATAACATTCATTGAAAAAAATATTATTTGTCTTTCAAATGCAGGACTATTAAAATATTTGTGTCAGAATGATATAAGCTATGTAAATAAGTAGAGAATAACAACACGTGATGATAATGAAACAAGAATGCTTTTTCGGTATATCAAAAATGTTACATATTTACCTAATTTGTATGTACATTTTTATAGGTCCTTCAGTTCTTGGAGATGCCTATGGGGTATTTATGGACTGTCATCGAGGTGTGGAGCTATGTGGTTGTCATGATAAAAAAATGTTGCATTTACAATTCATCAATATATGAAATAACTTTAGCTGATCTTCAGCATTTTTGTTTTAGAAACCTAAGTAGACAAGAGTGATTCAAAATAGTAATAATAAATAATATAGATAGGAACAAAGACTAAAGAAAAGTCAGATTAGAAATTGGAAGAAATTTCAATTTCCAGAGGATTAAGAGACAGAATAACTTCCAGAACTGATACAAAAGTCAGAATAACAGTATGTTTTTAGCTTAAATAGGTTTAGAGACAGAACATATACTGTAAGTGTTGTAATAGTGGTTAAGGTATCAGACTAGAAACCAAGATTCTTGTTCTGCTTTAAGCTTGAAACTATCTTAGGTCAGACCCTTTCTCAACCCAAAGTAGCAGGAATGGCAAATCATTACCAAAAACCTTGTCAAAAAAACCCTGCAGGGACTTGCCCAGGCAGTCACCAGGAGTCAACATTGACTCAATTACACACACATACACACATGCAAACAAACAGGGTGAAATCTAATAATGCTGATGCCTTGCATGTATAAGAGCCGAGGTGGCGCAGCAGTTAGAGTGCAGTACTGCAGGCCACTTTAGCTGACTGTGTTCAGCAGGTCAGCAGTTCAAATCTCACCGGCTCAAGGTTGACTCAGCCTTCCATCCTTCCGGGGTAGGTAAAATGAGGACCCAGATTGTTGGGGGCAATGTAAATATATATATATATATATATATACATATATATATATATATATATATATATATATATATATATATATATATATATTTACATTGCTTACTGGTGTACACCGCTTAGAGAGTGCTTGCACTTAAAGCGGTATATAAGTCTCATAAATAAATAAATAAACCTGGTAATTGGGCTGGCAGATCTGGGCTATTGTTAGCTAGACTTTTGCAGGTAAAATGTGGTCACCACACTTGGGATTTAAAAAGAAGTTTAAGAGGTGATCCAGATCCTAGCAATGGGGCCTTTTGATTTTAATAACATTGGACTTCCTTCAAGAGCCCAAACATGGTTGTATTTTATTTTATCCTCTCAAGAAACTTTTTAAAGTAGGCCAGACTGGAATAAAATTATAAGAATTAAACAAACCTCACACTCACTGGCGCCAATGATTTTATCTAGTCTAGGAATGAAATATCCGAAAACAAGCAACCAAGCTTAGATACTACCAAGGACTCCACAGTTCAGCCTTACATATTGTCTCTTCTATTGCAAAACTTTTGTTAAATTAACTGTTTAATTTTTTTTCAATATAGAACCAAATGCAAGCTTAAAGAAATGTTTTTAACATAAAATTGAGAAATGTCCTGTTTCAGTGTATAAGGCAAAACATAAAGAGAACAAAATAAAAGTGAAATTCCATCCAGAACAATTCTAATGATACCCCTGCTGTTAATATTTATTTTACTTCAGTAGCCATATCATTTTGACAATACTCGGTTCTATTTCTCCCTCCTGCTTTATTACAAAATAAAATTGATTCTTTGTTCTCCTTTCTTTGCATTGCAGCTTTGGATCCAGTGATACAGATGCTCCTTCTACAAATAGTACAACCATCATTTGAAAATATCACTTTTGTAAGTAAGATACATTTGCAATTTAACAAGAAAGGTAAACAATGCCACACTCCAGAAACACTAGGAAAATATGTGGATAATTGTTACAATGTCCAAGCTTTTTTTAAAAAAAATATTTAAACATGTAAAAGACCACCCAACATAGCATACAATAAAAACAGTCATGAAATACAATTTCAACCATGAAAGAATAATCAAATATACAGGAAGCACCAGGCGCTATAGTACAAGGTTTGAAGTAAACCTCAAACATGTTAGAAGGTTACCAGATTCACTTTTCCAAAGATGCTTTTGGAAAATTGATATAGCGTGTAATTGATATAGTAATAGTGAAATGATTCTCCAAATCCCAATCCTTAAGTAAGTTACGTAGCCAAAACAATACAGGTAAAAAAGAGAAACTTTGATGGATTTCAGTAGGGCTTCCAGATCTAAGCTGCAAGACTTCAGGATACTATCAGAAAGCAGCAACATTTCTGAGTTTGTTTACCTTTATGCTGCTATATTGTGGTCATCTGGAGTTTTGAATCCCAAATGTGGTAGTACTAATTCCAAGGTTTAAAGAACTACATAGAAACTTTAGGATGAAAATATGTGGAAGTGAATCCAGCTAGAACCTGAGGACATTAACTTAGTTTGAAAAAGAGAGAGAGGCAAAGAAAAAAAGTGATAAACAGTAAAATTGCACGGCAAACTGGAAGTAACCAAAAAGAAAAAGGCAGGCATGGTGGAGGGAGCCTGGAATATTTCCACAAAGTGCCAATGGAATAACATAGCAGACTAGCCAAGAAAGGAAGAAGGACCAGTGAAAAGGTGCAAGAATAAAAAGGTTGAATTCAATTCAAGAAAATATAACAATGTTTGGGAATATATGATTAAGAAAAGGCCAAGAAGATGGGAGTTCTGGTGCTGATTTATGTATAAAACTATGCTGGGATGGGTAGATTTAGTGTTTTCTTTTCCAATTGACACTATTAAGTGACAGAATAGTAATATAATATATAATAAGGAGCATCAAATTAAGCTGAATAGTGAAAGTTTTATACCAAGCAAGAGATGTTACGATACTGCTCTGCCCAGCACATACTGTAGAAAACATCAAATTGGGAAAAAATTGCATATTTTATCAGGGATTATGCTCCATAGCCTGATATGGAGGATTTTAAAGAGGAAGTGAAATGAATGAATGGATCATGAAACAATCAAAACAGCTTGTCATGACAACTTCATTATTCTTTCAAGAACACAAATACAGTACCTCTGGATATCAATTAAATACTTGAATCAATTGAAGCAACAAACAGGATTTCTCTGGGTATCTGAAAAGGTCATTGTGGAAACAGAAAACTGGTCTAGGTAGACTTTAAATCTAATCCAGCAAAGGTTCTGTTCTTAAATAAAAAGCTTTTCTTCTGAAAAAAAGAAAAGAAATTTAAACCCTAAACTAATACAAAATAAAGAAAATATAACAATGTTTGGGGATGTATAACTAAGAAAAGGCCAAGAAGGGGGCGTTATGGTGCTGATTTATGTATAAAACTATGCTGGCATGGGAAAATTAGTAGATTTTACTGCATAATTTTGCTGCAGAAACTAAAATGTTTTAAGCTGCATTTTATTTAAGCCACCACAACTTCCATGCCATCAAATATTCATATTCTACTTAAATACTGTATAATTCAATAAAATGTAATGCTTTTGTAATTAAGCAAACAGTTTTTATTTATCATAGTATTTATCATTCTAAACAAGCTTGTATTTGTAGTCTATGTGTTGTGTTTTGCATTCTGGTATTTTGAATGCCTAAAAAATACTCAGCAATACTCTGGAATTGAAATTGATGAACCCGTTTTTCAACATATTGAAGAACTGTGATGAATTCAAGACATTCAGCTGCTGTGTGTAGGATGTGTTTTGGACTTGTCAAATTATGAAGCAGGGTGGAGGATATTTTATTTGGCTTTATGTGAATCTTGACATATCCCAGACTGTAAGAGTGATATATTCTTAAAATTGTGTACACATTTAAAATTGTTGAGGAAAATAAACATACTGACTCCATTTATTAGTGAACTGAGATCATCAAGTATCTGTTAGTTTAGAGGACAAAAAATGAGAACATTTTATTATATCATAGCAGTTTTCATTTACTCAAAGATTATGTGGAAATGTAGAAAATATCCACTTTTGAGTTAAAAGAAAAATACAATTAAAATTCTCTTCTAAAACAATAACTTTATAGGCATTCTTCATTTTGAAAGAACATTAATTCAGGGGCAAGTATTGTAAACTTCTCTAGATATCTTGAACTATAACTGCCAATGAGGCTAGCCAGATGGTCAATGGACATAGTTTGTAAAACAGTTACCCAAAACATCTGGAGAAGTGCAAAAATGTTTAGTTTGAATCCATACTTTAGTCAAGGATATATCAACCCAGTTTCTACAACAATTTACAGATTGAAATTTATTTATTTATTTATTTAATTTTATGACCACCAATCTCAACAAGTGACTCTGGATGGTAAAAAAAATTAAAATGAAGTAAAAACAATTGCAATAATACAAACTAAAAAAAACCCAGAAGCAGAGAAAATATATTCCATAATTATCAATATAACTATGAAATGGGTCCCTGAATACATTTGGAGCCTTAGACCCTAGACAGAACCTAAATAGTCTTTAGGGATTTACAAATGGCAAGCATGGTGAGGGCTATCCTGATCTCCAGAGGAAGAATGTTCCATAGTGGGGCTCAACGGCAGAGAAGATACATCTTCTAGGTCCTACCAACTTAGCTGACATGATATGAAGCATGCCCATCCTGCATAACCAGATCAGATAGATAGAAACAATTAAGGAGAGATGGTCCCTAAGTAACCCATTCAAAGCCAGAAAGAGCTTTAAAAATGACAAACAGCACCTGAATTACATCCAGAAGCACCTTGGCAACCAATGCAACTCACAGAGTACTTGTGTTACATGTGCCAAATAGCCAGTATTTAAAATCATCAAATATCTTTAGAAGGCTATTTAAATGTAGAATCTGAAGAGAAAAAGGAAGTTTACCCTGGGTTGATTCTCATTTTGATTCCTTAAAAGACCAGAAAATGCTATTCAGTATCAATCCAAAAGTTCTTTATTGAGACCTTGAGAACAGTTACTGCAGGGGGAAAATGATTGGTCCTTGGATGAATATAACTGGTTGTATTACTTTATAGTGGGGAAAAAAAATAAAGATATGCAAACAACTACTTATAAATGCATATTTTTGGAAAAAACAATATAACAATAGCTTTTAAAATCTGCATTTCACTGTAAATGTTTGTTATTGTTTATAAAAATTCAGCAATTTGTAGGGAAATAAAACAGGAGGGATATATGGTCATGAGAAACTAACAACAGAAACAGTGATTTCGCAGATGTTAAGCTTGATCACATCTATGGTTCAATAAATCTTCAGGCTTCAGTTTCTTGTTCTTTCAAATCTTCAGCGATTTCAAATTCATATTCTTCTTGTTCATTTCTCTCTCTCTTTTGTCTTATTTCTTTTACTGTAACAGTATAAATTTGGTTTATATTCTCTCTGAAATATGAAATAGTTTGCTAGTTTAATTTCTTACTAATTTACAAATTTCTGTATGTGCTTTGTCTTAAAGATATATGGACTTGGGTAGGAAACTATATCACAACATTTGGAAAGTGTTAACATCAATAAATTACATCAATACTTGCAATCTTTTATTGCATCTTCTCATCTGAACTATCTTCTCATATTTCTTCTGCTAGCGTAGAACAAAACTAGATTTACAGCATTCTTTCTACATATTGGATACCGATCAGTTTTCTCACCTAGATTTTTCCATATGTTTCATGATAGAGTAGAATTTATATAATCTAAGATCACTTGGGGAATAACCATTGTATCTTGTACTAGAAGCAAGACTGATTCCTTGATCATATTGTGTATATCCTGAAGCCAGCACAAGATAATGTACTTTTTCCTTAAATCATCTATTTTCCCCTGTCTTCCATCTAGTTGCTTTGGAAATATTATTTTATTGCTAAACTTTTAAATGGTGGATTACATGACTGGTTATGAGGGAATAGTCCTTTTTCATGCTCAAGAAGTTTTAAATATAGACTAAATCTATTCTAAGGAAACCCACTAAATATAGCAGTAGAGTATATGAATATTTATAAGCATGCCACAATACACTTTGCAACTAATCAGCTAAACTGTTGAATTGGAATTCATTTTCCACCATAATGAGAACTTTCATAGTATTATTCAAAGTGGAAAACCAGAGAAAGTTTGACTTTAATTAAGGTCAAATTAAATGTATTTGCAAATTTCAGAAAGTCTTCCTTATAATTAGCAAATTCTTAAGTACTCTAAGAGGTTGTTGCATAATATGGACTGAAATCTTTTATCCACTTACTTAGAGAAGTAAACCTATTTAATTGAATGAAGATACATTAAATAAAGTAAATTTATTTCAGAAGCAGCTTGGAAATTTATGGCTACTATGGCAGCCATAGGCTTATCTCAGATTATTCAGGACCCAATTTGGAATAGTGGTCACACATTGTCAGAGCAGTGATAATGTGATCTGAGGGGGGAACTTGCCCTGTCCCCTCTGTCATGCTCAGATCATGCCCTGATTATTTTAAGATTTCCACATACTTTCCCCTTTGCAGGGAGGCAGGACCTATTGATTGGTCTGCTCCTGGTGACGTAGGGACATAGTGAGGTTCCAAAGGGAGCTGGGAGATGTTCTTGAGGTTCTGCTGCATTGCCCTGCTGAGGCCCTGGCTACTACCTGGAATAAGAAAATAATGAAGGCCTTGGACAGGGTCATGTGACCATTCCATCATGGTCAGCACTCCCTATGTTTACAGAGGAGTTAAGGGAGTTGAAATGGGTCAAGAGACATCTAGAGTGCCATGGAGGAAGCTGAGGGATGAATCTGATTGATCACGTTCCAGCCACTATTAAGA